TAGGCGGTGCGTTATATGTGGGGCACGGTGTGGCACGTAACGAGCGTTGCGTGGCGTGTGCACCGTAGCACGTGCGTGGCGTGGCTGGTGTACGTATAGCGTGGGCTGCCGTGCGATGTGTGCACGTAGGGCGTGCACGTGAACGTGCCTACACGTGCAGAATTTGCGTTGCCTGGTCATAGTGCCACCGTGCGTGCGTGTGTTGATCGCACACGATAAAGACACGTGACGTGCGCTGTGCACGTACACGTGCGTCGGCGTGCGTTGTCGCACGTACCACGTGCGTACCGCCGTGCTTGCTGGCACGTGTGCGTGCGTGCGTGTGCCACAAGTCAACAGCCGTAGCGGGTGGCCAGGTGCACAGGCGTAACAGATTCGGGCGTGCGTGGCGAGTGTGCACGTCCAAGTGCGTTGGCGTGTGCACGTACACGTGCGTGCGTGTGCACGTACACGTGCGTGGCGTGTGCACGTACACCGGCTAACTACGAACACTCGGCTTATAAGCGAAAACAACTGCGCAAGCTGGATGACAAAAGAAGCGTCAAAGGGTGGCCGCCTGTCAGTGTAGTATGGTAATCTATTTATGTTATTTTTAGTTGAGCTAGTAATTTATAATGTTTTCTCATAAAATAATGTAGCTTGCGGGTATGCTGGAGAACACCTGCGAAATTTCGTCGAGTGTTTACGGGGCACCGGTCGTCAGCTCGTGTAAAGTTACGCAAGAGGTTTAGCGTAAATTTTAGCTTTGATTTAAATTGGCAATCCCTAAACGGCCTCGCGCATTGCGCGTACGCCGAATCGTACGCAAATTACTAAATAGCTGTGTTGATGATCCAACTAAAAGGCCTAGGACACACTGTGCGAGGTTTTCTAGCGCGCTGGCCGCTTGCGATGCGATAAATTACGGTGCCCGAGTCGGCGCCGCGGTGTGTGCGGTTACGACGGCAGCGTGATTTGCAGCGATGCCAAATACGCCCGGCTTGAATCGCTCGCATTCAATCATGTTTGATATTTCCGCACGGTTTCCATCGCTGGCGTACAGCGCATGCGCTTGCGCGCAGCCGGCGCAGCAAGGGGTACACGTGCGAAAAATGCCAATGGAAAATTGCTGACCACTTTATCATTTTGGGCCGTAGAATATAAATTTGCGGTGCCCAAAAAAAAAATTTTTGGGATCCACCCCTTCGGCTGGCCCCGAGTGTCTAAGCACTGCCCTACATTGTGGGGCTCGTCCTTCACGCAGAGTGCCGCGGGGATTAGTCCTTTCCGTTTTAGGGTTCAGGAGGTTCACATGCGTGTGTACACATGTGTATCTATGGACCCGAGCGATTCCTCGAGTTGCGCAGGCCACTAAACCGTTTGCTATTTCCGGAAAAATGAAAGTTTTTTCTCACACCCGATACCAGATTGCCTTAAGCTGAGTCACCGGAAAGAGAGCGCGCTAGTACGGCCTATGCCCTGAATTGCGCTGCATTCGTAAGACGGTTTGGTATGTGTGATTTTATCGACTTGTACAATACATTAACGTTCAAACGGAGCTCGTTTGTATCTTGAAAATTCGTTTGTCGCAGCCATTTCGTATCTTCGGGGTTCACTGTATATACTAATATATATAATGATATATTATATTACCAAATTCCGACAAATAACTTGCGTGGCTAGCCGCATATTTCAACATATTTCATATGAGAAAACTTTAGGGTGTAGGGTTATGTAAGTTAGCAAATACGTACAAAAACAGCAGCAGCTATGACAAAACACTATGATCTATGGATTAAACATGAATGTTAATATTTGGATATCAATAGTTATTGCATTAATCCTAATGTTATGTAAAGCAATGTAATAGACTAACACAGATGTTGTTTAGTGTTTTCATGTATTTCCTTATGTATTAGTTTAATGTATACATGTTAGTTTAATCATGAAAAGCATATTTCATTCCAGTTTTTCGAGGTATGCGAGCACGATGGATGCAGCAGGAGAAAACAATGTATACCACAATACTAGCATTACGTGACGCACGAACAATGACGGTTACAAACTGCAGACCACGGCTTGAACCAGGCCTAACCAAGGATCCCAAATGCGAAGACCGACTGAAAAAGAAAGCGTAGATAGGCTTCTGCAATAGAAACCGATTATATAATTGTATCAGACCGGAGTAATGTCATTAATTGTTTACCGAACTGTAGTACGACCACAGCTAGTTACTATCCATGCTGCCATAGCTGACAATAGTAACTAACGCGCAATGAATCGCTGCTCTCTAAATATATCATGGCTATGTTTAAATCAAACAAACACAAATGAGCATTCCTTTCAAAGTATGTATGCCCACCAATTATACTGCAGTTTTCCAACCCTCACAGTCAAAATTTAGGCCAACGTCGTTGTATTTCCTCTGGTTTGTCATGAACTGTTGAAGCCCAGCTTACCAGTCCATTGCTTCCTTTTGACTAGCGCTGATTCATTGTAGCCTTGTTTAGCTGGCATTGGATTTTACGACTCATACCTCGCTATTCTGATAATCCACATACATAACAACTTAATATAAATATTTATATATATATATATATTATAGAGTGCATAAATATTAAACTACAGGCTAAACAGCCACAGTGTGGTGTTAGCTAGTTTAATATTTACGCAGTTGGCTACGCCGTCGCCGTCATCCATTAGCAAAAAGCTCAGCAGCAGATTCCCAAATTCACGCTCACGATTTAGGCTATGCGGCCCTCTTCAAATGGTTGATTTCTACTGGCAGTTATCTATGCTTTTGTTTTTCAGTAAAGTTTCAAAAAACACCATTTTTTGATATAATCACTTAAAGCTCACATATGCACGCATCAAACGCTATTTCTCCCAGTTACTACGACTAGGCAAAATACTGTCGTGTCATGCAATCTATACTAGCCCCCGCCCTATGGCTAAAATAAACTCGTACTTCCTGACCTCATTTCACTGGCGCGGTTGTCTTATACAAAGGTATTTTGAAAATACCTCCTAATGGTTGTTGACGGGAATTCTCCCTCCGATGGTTGTTGACAGTGTCCCCAATACTCCAAGCAACCGTGGCAGCGTGCCGCGGTACAGCGCGTACGGGCGCAGGAAGAGATGAAAAACTGCTGCGTCACGTCACACTTTGATGTTATGGCTTTTTTGAAAACAATTTAAGCGTTGGCGCCTGACTTACCGATATTCGCACCGTCTTTCTTGTTGGGACGCGCACGTCAAATGCGAAAGAACTAGAAGTTTATTTTGTCATACAAGGTAGTGTGATTATGCGCATGACAACGACGAGTATTGCAGTCTAGTACTGGAGAAATGAGCGTTTGGAATTGCCGCATGTGCAAACGCCTTTCAAAGTAAGTAATATCTCTGGTAAAAACTCTATTGTTTATTGTTTTTTACTGCAACAAAATATAGTTGGGTTCACATAAGATAATATGATGATCTAGAAATATATATGAGAAAGAACAGGGGGGCGAGATAATATTATTATACATGATAGATATATATATGATATATATATATATATATATATATAGTATATAGTATATATATATATATATATATCTATAGGCTATATATATAATATGCATGATGATAGATATATGAGAAAGAATGATGATATAGGCGTATGCCTGGAGCTGCGGCGTCCGGTAACGGACGCGTAAGCCACCAGTGTTGTAGTCGAGTCCGCACCCCCACGAGTCTGAGTCCGAGTCCGAGTCGCGCCGTCGAGCTCCGATTCCGAGTCTGAGTCCACATCACCCGAGTCCGAGTCCGAGTCCAGTTTTCGATAAAAAAAAAAGGGAAAAATCACGGAGAAGGGGGAAAAAATCAGGAAAAAATTGGGAAAAAAATCGCAACAGTGCATCATAGACATTCGAAAGTGTATAGAAGTACCGAAGTGATGACGTCACGGTGGCATGACACACGAGCCTGCTGGTTCTACACAATCATATGCTCTGGTAACATTAACTGCGTGTCGTGTTTTGTACCGCGATTGTAACCATCATTATGAGAGTCATATTGGCAGTTTTTATAGATTTCCAAAGGATGGAAGTGAAAAGCAACGCGGAAAAAAAATTAATTGAACCCAAAAAATTTAAAAAAAAAAAAATTTTTTTTCTTGAATTTTTTTTTAAATTCATTAAATATTGTAAGAACGACTTGCTACCGATGCTTTACCGCTGTCTGCAGCGCACACACATCGTGTTTTACGTACGCACAACAGTTGACCCTCTGGCTACCCATGGAGCCAGTGGCTTGTGTGAGAACCAGCCGTACGTTGTCTTGCAACGTGACGTCACACTCGGTACTCTATAGTCAGCCGAAAACACAGAGAACATGAGTCATACGAAATGTGTCAAAGTAACGAGACCATTTGTGTTTTACGAGAATGACACACACGGCTTGTTGAACCAAATGAAAGAGTGCTAGCACCTTCGAAGTTGTAGAAAAAGCGCAAAGGGACGAAGTGACAGCAGATTCAAACCAAAGGGACAAGAATCTTAATCGAGCCATTGAAACCGTTACAGAGATTAGGCGCGTGTTATCTAGACAAACCTAGGAGTTTAGTTTTAAATTCTTGTAAACTGCGTGTTACAATATGTACAGTTGTGTACTATGTATGTAGTAGCCTCGACCCGAGTCATCGAGTCCGGAGGGCTTGAGTCCGAGTCCGAGTCTGAGTCATTGCACTCCGAGGCCAAGACCGAGACCGAGACCAAGGAAAACGGTGTCGAGGCCGGTCTCTAGACTAAGACCGGTCTCGAGACCTACAACAATGGTAGCGACGGCCTAATATTTAATGCACTCAAATATTTAGCAGGGAATTTTCACACAGTGACAGTGTGTGCGCCTACTATTTGATAGACTACTGGCACACAGTGTGTGCCCTACTATTTGATAGACTATCAATGTAATTTTTAGTATACTTGTGAAAATTTATGTCATGTAAAATTGAACGTGTCTGCTTGTTTATCTTTCAGTCATTGGTGACAAGTCTGAAGATATTATTGAGGTATGTACAAAATAACTGCAATTTCACACAAAAAGCAGCGATACTGCTGTGTAAATTTTATCTGTGTAATTGATTTATTCTAATATTATGAATATATATAAAATTAGGTAACACAAGTATATGTAATAACTAAATGTTTACCTTATTTGTCTATAATAATTATGTAAAAAATATCTGTTTTAACAGTCTCTGAAGCTTACCCTAAATACAAGCAGATGTGAAAGTTGCTATGGAGCAGAAACCTATAACGGACAGTAAGTGAATTGTTTTGGTTCATTGAACCTATTCAACTGGCATAGAAACACAGGACATCCATAATACACTAGGTGCTAGAGTTCTAGGTGTTAATGGCAGTTTATGTGTAGGTGCTGTAACACATGTGAGGAAGTGAGAGAAGCTTACAGGAAGAAGGGATGGGCATTCATAACGCCGGCAGAAATAGAGCAGTGCAAGCGAGAGGGTTTCACGGAGAAGCTGGAGAAGCAGCAGAATGAAGGCTGTCATCTCTATGGATATCTGGAAGTTAATAAGGTAATGGATTCATGACATACTGAAGTTATTATCTCTTGATTAAATCGAAAAATTAAACAATTAAAAATTTCATACATGTAGACAAGTTAGGTCTCAATTGTTAGCAGATATATTACTGATTACTCCAGCATAAAAATTGCTAAGTTTGGGCTGCTGTTATAGGGTATAAAACAACAAAAGAACAGCAAACTTGCACCTGGATTCCTAAGGTTTGCAAAATTGAAATATAAGTAATGCTATCACAAAACAAAAGTGTACATGTTTATGTATCGTAAATATTTCTATACTACCATATCTCGACATGTAGACAAAGGCAAGGGTAACACAGTACAGTGTACAGCCTGGCAGTGTCGGCACCAGTCAATAGCATCTCATGAGATTCGAGAATCATGTGCTTATTGATGTAGATATGTGTAAACAAATCTATTTCAAAATGCAGATCAATGCACGTATCGCTGAAAGTGATGTGTGAGTTTTCTAAGACATGTTAGACATAACTGTATACACTTGGTGTTAATAAAATAGTGCCAGTAAGTATCAGAACAGTCAAGAAAATATGAGAACGGTTGGGGAAATGTGAAATTATTGCTTTAAGCTGATGAAACATGGTTCAACATTTGTTGCCAACATCAGCCACCTGCCATGTAATGTTGCATAGAAGCCGTGCTGTTGCAAGAAAAAATGCACTACATATCGCACGACCATGTCGCTGGAAATTGGAAGCGATTCTAAATATTTTTGCTGTTATAGTTGTTGTTAGACTGTATCATGTGAGCCTGAAACAGCTCATTGGAAACAATAGTTTATAATTTCCTCAACTTTCATCAAACATTACGGCCCATCGTTGTCGCTGCAGTGTGTCCTGACCTTTAACTCCAACTGACATTTTCTATATAATAATCATTGGTTTATATATGACCACGAGATACATCTGTGCCCGTGCACAGTTCCATGCTCATATTTAGCCCTAATACAAGTAATAATGAGCGTGAGCAAAAGATTTGGTTAAAACCTAGTAGTATTTCCATTATCTTGTGCTTCCATCATGTGTATTTCCAGCATGTGCTTCCTCTCGACCTACCAAATTAGCTATTACATCTGATTGAAACTATGTTTCGGTTACTCTTTGTCTGTGTCCATTAAAAATTCTTCCTTGCTGTATTGCAGATTTTTTAATCACTATCCCAATGACTAAACTTGAGTCTAAGGTGTAAATTTGTTGCAAGTATTAATTTTTTATCCTATTTCTTTATATTTAATTTGTAACCATGTTTCATATTTAGAAAAGTGTGACACTAGTTTTGACAATTGATTAAACAGGTTGCTGGAAACTTCCATATAGCACCAGGGAAAAGCTTTCAGCAACATCATGTTCATGGTGAGCCAGTAGTGTTTTGAATACTACTGTAATAATTAAGTGCATTATAGCTTATCATATATTATATACGATTTACATAACAAATAATTGAGAATCTGCATTAAAAGGATTAACTGTATATAACAATTGCCACTTATCAATGTACAAAATTAACAAGGCATGTTCTTTGACTTAAATAAATTTATGTGAATGCAAAGTTATTTTAAATGATAAAGATTCTGATTTTTTACAGTTCATGACTTGCAGGCATTTTCAGGTACAAAGGTAAGATAAAGCATGATCTTTCACTTTTAATTAAGTCAGTACAGTGTAACACTGATTATGTAGCACAACAGCAATAATGGTGGGGTTTATGTCAAATTATATGAGATGCGAAAAAACTGTGCAACGTCTCTATGACATAACTGTTCTATAAGAGGAGATTGTCTGCTGTATTCACTGTTGTATCAGCTCTGTATGTTGCTGTAGTAGCTGATGGTTAGAATATGTGCTCTAACAAATCGTAGAGCCTGTATGTAAGAGTCGCTCAATGAAAACCCAAATGTTCTTTATATATGTATATATGTAAAAGTAAATGTCTGAGAACTAGGTTATATGTATAGTAATTTGTACTCTTGCAATAGAAGGATGTGTCCTGTATATATTTTGCTGCCTCTCTGTTGCAGTTTAACATGACCCACTCCATTAAGCACTTTTCCTTCGGTCAGGACTACCCTGGTCTGCAAAACCCACTAGATCACCTGGAAGTCGTGGCTCATAAAGGTAAAATGTTTTTATTTCATCTCTCATAATGAAATAGACCTTGTAGAGTGGCAATAGTGTGTATGCCTCCATCCATCTATCGAGAATAATGCTTCGAAATCTAAATGTGCTGGACCGCTGGTTTCATCTACTATGTTGATAATAATTATGCATCAAGGGTCAAGCTTTAAACAGTCATGCCAGGTCAGAGTTGGTGCCTAAAGGTCAAATGAGAACAACACAATCATTGCACAAATTTAAAGAGCTTCAACAACTTTTCCTATTTGAGATATAATGGCAATTAAAAAATGTATTATGCGTGTATATATGAGTTTAAGGGGTCAAATGTCGTTCTATGGCTTGAAAGGATTTTTATGTGTTCTAACAAACACAGTAAGCAACTAATTTATGCATGTGATGATCTATTCTTTCCATGTATTTATTTAAAGAAATAAGCTTAATGTGGAAGATAACTTTTTACATTAAAACAAAATTTACAACCATTAGGGAGTTGAAACATAATTGTGTGTATTTTATGAAAAGATTTGCAAGCTACAAATACAATTTGGTTCACTGCTGCATGACCATGGATGCAAATGTCAAATGTGTTTAGTTTTATGTGTGTTGATCAGGTATTAGGATGAGCCCAAAAGCAGACTTAAGCAATTGTCTGTCCTATTCACATTCACTGGTATTTATATTTCTGAGAGTAATGAATCTTTAACAACTACTTTTACTGCATGGTACTGTGATACCACACAAAACAAGAGTAATGTGTCCCAGAAAAAAACAATAGCAATATTAAATTCCGTTATGTGTGTCACGTTTTCCACTTCACTTCCATTATATAATTTAAGATGTGTTTCTATGTGTCTCCCCTAATTCAAGCGTAATTATGAATGCAGGGAAACATTTTAAAATAAATATTGATTATTTAATGATGTGACAGAGTGTAGTGATAATGCTGGGAGCGAGAGTGAATTAATTTAAAATAAAATTAGTACCTTATACCCAGAAAATTCTATGCGCAATACGCTAGTTGCAGGAATGTGCACATTCCAGACACAGTTTGCATGTAGGAGTTTCCTCAGGGTGGGAAGGTGTCTGATGGGTTAATGGCACACTTCAAAGCTGGCCTGGTAAACTTTTTATCAAGAGAAACAAACTGATCCTGTGCCCTCAAAAAGAGGAAGTCGTACGAAGAGAGAAACTACAGATCAAGATAATGCATGACACAAATTATAGTAATCACTGGAAAGTAAGATTGAAATATTGTGTTATCTGCTGTAGATTACTACAAAATGTGATTTTAAAACTGAAACCAGTATATTCATATTTCAGTATACAACAATGTATTGTTTTATTAATAGATTGTAACATATACATCACTGATATACATTGTAAATATATTTAACAATGTATTATATAACAGTAACAGTATACTTAATGATACAAAATACATTGTAAATATATTTAACAATGTATTATATTTCACTTCAGTATAATAACAAAGGTAGGTAGCCGGGTGCTGAAGTCGTTTTCTGTGTGCCGTTAGACTGCACTGTTTAACCTGTGTTGCGTGGGCTGGTGACAGTAGCGATCGACTCTGTAGTTGAGTCAATGCTTGGTAGCTCATGGTTTTACTGATTGTGTCTCAATGCTTTTCTCTTATACTCATAATTCTCTTTTTACCAAGCATCTTAAATCGTTACACGTGGATTTTTAGTTATGTATAGCAGAATTTTCAGAGTCACATGGACTCCTGCTGATGTCATTTCAGGAAGTCCAACAATCGTATCGAAATGAACCAGAATGTTACCGATTTCCTTATGTTTCCAATGCGAACAAGTGGGAATAATTGTAATTTCGAGGATATTGTGACATGATGGTTTAATTATCAACTTTTCCCCATATTTTTCTTGAAGTAGGTGTTAATAAGGGCAGGCACCTTTAATAATTCATTTAAAGAAAGTCGTCGTGTTACGTCTGTGCAGATATTTTGGGATATTAGGATCCACAAAATAGGAGCAATGTCTTGTGTCTTTAATATAGGCAATTAATGTTCACGCCGTCTTTCCACAAACCTCAGACTGGTGCCCATATTATTAAAGGCATACTAGGCCCATTGATTATGCAATGTTGACGAATGCTAAAGTAACTCGCACCTTGTGTAGTTAATAAGTACATAACCTTATAGCCAAACGCGTATTAGTTTGTCCAATATCACTGCTGGTTACATTACAAGCAAGACTTGAAATCGGTTGTTGATATTTATTTACGTGCCGTAAATGTCATCCAGGAGTCAATTGATGACGTAAACATTTGTGCGGCCCATATGTTTTGGACGCCAGATGAAATGTAGGTGTCAGCGGTGTAACCACGGCCACAGACTAAACATGGAAATGGAGTAAAACACGAGTACTAATCACGGACGCACATGGACAGCCCTGACAAAAAGTTCCTTATCACAGGCGTCCGTGTTTACGAAATCACTGATGATAGCATTGCGTACGGCCGAGCATGCGTGCGAAAATGTCCGGTGCACTATAAATCTGCATCACACCCGCTTCGCCGGCAGCGGTTTGAAACTGTAAACAACTGATTTTTTGGACTGCGGATTTCAATTAGACATCTTAGGTATTCTTAGTAACCAGCATATTGGACAAACTAATACTCGTTTGGATGTAATAAGGTTATGTAATTATTAACTACACAAGGTGCCAGTTATTCTAGCATTCGTCAACATTGCATAATCAATGGGCCTAGTATGCCTTTAATACTTCATGTGCTATTGCTATTAGACGAGTGACATGTAGTGACTGCAGTCAGGGCGCGTAGGCAATATTGATACTGTGTACGTGTTCTGAGGCAATACACCGTCATTGGATGGTAGCGCCACCAGGTGGATGAATGATTCATACTGTGCGCCCAGGCAAAGTATAAATTCGTGACGAAATCGGAAGCTCAATTTTAAAGCCAACATCACATTAGTTATAACCTGCGGTCGTTCTATGCTTTATATGACATGTTAAAATTACATAAAACGATCCTTAACAAAAACTGGTTTGTGAATATGTTGATCATATGACAAGAAAGAATAATGAATATCCTTATTTGTGATTTGGCTCAGTGGTCTAGGGGTATGATTCTCGCTTCGGGTGCGAGAGGTCCCGGGTTCAAATCCCGGCTGAGCCCGCTATTTTTGCATACGCAGCGCGAAGGTTACTTTAAATTTCCATTTCATTCCCTTATAAATCTATTTCTGTACTGTGATATATGCCATTTTATTACGATGTTTAGTATAACAATGTAATTTACAGTGAAATAGGGTGTATATAATATTCATAACATAATGAGTGAATAATAATAGATTATTTTTATTATTCACTCCTGATAATATATATACATATAAAACCTATGTTTTTAATCCATTGTTGAAAAATATTCCATAAAATGTTTCATAAATGTTCATATAAATTTATTTTCAATATATTATATTGATTCAAAATAGTGGCTACAACTGCTAATTCTGTGTGTAATGTGTAATTGTAATAAATCATGTATTATTATAATTCTTTATTCCAGATCAAATGATGTTTCAATATTTTGTGAAGATTGTGCCGACAACATATTTAAATCTGGATGAAAAAGTATGTTGAAAAAGTATATATATATATTTATTTATTTATATGCGTGCTTGTACAACGTATGAAGGAACCTGGTGGGGAATCCCTGTAGCATAGTAGACTACTGTATAAGCTGTATATTTCGCGGTGGTTTAATTTTCGCGAATTTCGCGAATGCATCCCCTACCGTGAAAATAAAAACACGCGAATAGTTCATACTGAATAATACCGAATAATTCATAATTCACCGACCGCAAAATTAACCACTTGCAAAAATTGTCTGTCAAGTCTGAATTCGCCAAAATATCTGTACTCAGAAAATACGGCTTATACAGTACGTTGTAGAAAGTGGTATGATAAAAAAATTCCCCTAGCTGGTAAAATATATATGTTGGGATTTAGCCCACCTCTCTAAAATCAAACTAACCTTGTCATAGTGTGGTCAGATAAGGCCGTTTATCAAATGCAAACTATCCCTCAAGCAACATTCGCAGTCATATTTAATACCCCATACAGAGAGACTACAAAATTGATCTTCTAGCCCAGACTAAATTTTTCCAGTGTTTACATTCTGTCTAGGGCTAAATACACACAAGTCCTAACTAGTAGACGGTACAGACTGCAAAATTTTAATGCTATATCAAACCAGTCCAAGCCAGGCTCGTGGTACGCTTGCTAAATCACAGCATACAGACACAAAATACACAGCAGAAGCTACTGGGGCTGATAGGGTCTATGTCCCCCAGGGTACTATCGGAGGGTACCCTGGGTACGGTTCGACATATCGGAACGCACCCTGGTAACTATCTGATATGCTGGATCGTACCTCGCCTACTCCACTAACGAGTCTAGGGAGTCGCCTACGCCTACTCCCTACCCCTAACCCTAACCCTAACCTTAACCCTAACCATATCAGATAGTTACCAGGGTACGTTCCGATATATCGAACCGTACCCAGGGTACCCTCCGATAGTACCCTGGGGGACATAGACCCTATGAGCGCTACTGGGCGTATTATTGAATATGGGTATTCCGATTATCCTGGCATGCCCTGGTAAACGCAATGAGGTGGGCCATGCCCGCGTTATCCCAAAAGTTATCCTGTACGTTGTTATCTGGGGCTAAACTGTGTGGGTAAGTAAACCAGACCAGATGTGGGGTAAATTTCTATATGAACATGCGCATAGCCTTGTTTGAGTACCTATATATTAAAAGTAAAAACGCAACTGGAATTGTCTGCAATTTCATTTTTGATCTGCAACTCACTATAGTGTATACTAATATAGCATAAACAACTTGGTTCATATAATGGCAAATGCATGCAGTCCTTGGGATGACAAAGAGGTAAAGAATCTTACTGCAATGTGGTCAAAAGAATCTACACAAAGGGTATAGGAAGGCACACATAAAAATGTGCATATTTGTACTTCTATTGCTGATAAAAGATACTGCTGTGTATTTGGTAATCTGTTAATATTCTTCTTTTGCTGTTATTACAGCTGTTGCTTTTTCTGCAATTTCTGTCTGCTATGAGACGTTACATGCTAAACTAAGCATGCGCAGCCAACTCATGCTACCTCAACCCGGTTTGTTGAGTGTTGTTTGTACGCTGCGAATTAGCGCGCGTCTGGCCAGGGACTGACCCAGAAAAGTTAAACGTAGGATCAAATTTTACAGTCTGTACAGGGTGTTAATTGTAATTAAACTGAAATAGTATTGGCACTAGTGAGCGAGCGAGCACTAAATTTCCCACTCGGTTCTTTCACACTTCACTGCTGAGTATTCAGGTTCAGAGCTAGTATATTGATTAGTCAGACCTGTCCCATGCTCCACTTACCTTTTTGCTACTGGAGGCCTTATTAATAGTACATGGCTAAATTTTCTGCAGTTGTAATAGAGAAAAGTGCCTTGAATTTTAAAAATGTATATGTCGATCATGTAATATTAAATGCTTCAAACATATATGTGAAGACAATATAAATTCTTCTTGTCTCATGCAGATGTGATGCAGCTCGCAAATGTTAGCGAGCATGTCTTGTATCCAGTGAAGGATTTAATCGATTTAAAATCTTACGTTATATTTCACTTTATCCCAAAAGGTTTTGTACACAAATCAGTACTCAATTACGACCAATTCTAAAGTAGTATCAGCAACGAGTGGGGACCAGGGGCTACCTGGAATGTTCATGATGTATGAGCTCTCACCTATGATGGTTAAATACACAGAGCAAAAAAGGTAATGATAATTTTATTCGTATTCTTTTTAGTAGTATCTCATCAGAAGTGAATAAATAAAATAAAATCTGTTTTTATTTATTCCTAATCTCTTGCACTTGCTTTTATATGACATTAAATTATTCTTGTTGATATCATCTCCAGACGCTTGTCTTATATGAATCAAAAGTTGGGTTTTGGGCAGCTCATTACAGTGTAATTGTTATATAACTGTTGTTATCTGTTTCAGGTCATTCTTCCATTTTCTCACAGGAGTTTGTGCAATCATTGGAGGAGTGTTCACAGGTATGTAGCTCTTATATCATTACCATGTTCATAAATACCCTAACTGTTCGACTCTACCAGACTTTTTAACCAACAACAAATTGCTGCTAGACATTTAAAATGTTTATGTTGTATACGTCTACAGACTGGTTCCGAAATGCATAGAATTTCAACTCGGTTGCAAATTCATGTCGCTATATTTGGCTCATGATAACATGGTAAGAGGCTCATGGAACATGGTAAGAGGCTCATGGAACATGGTAAGAGGATGCTTGGAGAATATCCTAACATTTGCAATGTCACCAATATAAACGACTTCACCCTTTGCACTTTATATTCTTGATATATGGTTGCAATGAGAAAAGCCATCTTCTGTGCAACAATCAAAGATCAGGCTCTCGTTGGGAACGATGGACATATTGTTTTGAGAACTGTCTGGTAGCTAGCAAACGCAGACGTTGCAGTTGATAAACAAAAGAAAGCCTTACTTCTACCTGTTGCCCGGTGAAGAAGGGTTTGATCCTAGTGAAGCACTTGGAGTGATAGATAGTGACACCTATGCCCCGATGAAAGCCGAACTAGACGATTATTTTGCCCCAAAGCAAATTAGGGAATATGACACTTTAGTATTTCGATAGGCTACGCAGCAAACCGGTAAAGCTCTAGATAAATTTCACTCCTGTTTGCAGCCACAAAGAAAAAAATTAGACTTCCATGATAAAAACATAGAGATAAATTCTCAGATCTAACAGAAGTGTTTGGATGGGAAATGAAGATAAAGGGAGTTAATGATACTGACATGACACTATCTGAATTACCTATGTTTGTAACCTTGCTACCGTCAAGGACACGTGAGACAACTATGTTGCACACAAAAGTTACGGTAGAGCCTGTGCAGGTCTATCGTGCGAGGCCGCGTCCTACAACAGGAAAGCATGCTCAGCATGAGGGAAGGCATGACACAAGTGTGGTAAACCCAATCAAAAAACAAATCGAACTAAAATCATTGGGGGGATTGTCAGGGAGTGATTGCCTGGGGGTAATTGTGCTTAGGGTGATTTTGTGTTATGGTGGGGGGAGGGTAGTTGTTCAGGCGTTGCCTTCCTACAGTGATAAGCTAAATGAACTGAGGGTTGAAGAAGGTGTGTTAATATGGGGAATGTGAGTCATTGTTCCAACTTCCACCACAATGCTGTGACCTAATGGTGCAAAAGTTGCATGGAACCCACCCAGGAATTGTGAAGATGAAAGCATTAGCATGCAGCTACGTCTGGTGGCTGGGAATAGACGCTGACAAGAACAGGTGAAAGATTGTGGTATGTGCCAGATCCATCGCCAGTTGCCGCCATCTGTGCCGATACACATGCGAGTGGCCAGGGCAGCCATAACATCACTCATATTAACTATGCAGAACCATTGGATGGACGAATGATTCTTGTCATTGTCGAGGCGAGTAAATATATTGATGCTCCTGTGGTAACAGCTGCAACAACTAGTTCCATACTCACTAAACTCCGGCAGACATTTGTGACCCTATGACTGCCGAGTACGATCGTGTCAGACAATGAACGGCACAGCACATATTTTACCAGTGCGGAATTCAAGAATGTCTGCAAATAAACCGTATTAGGCACATTAAATGTTTGCCCATACCGCCCAGCCTGTGACGGGTTAGCATAGAGGGCCATGCAAACAGTGAAAATGGGACGCAAGCTATCCCAGAGTGACCTGGTGGAGGACCCTCTGCACCGCTTCTTGTCTATGTATCGAGTAACACCACAGGCAACTACAGGCAAAGCACCAGCGGAGTTAGTGTTTAAGAGTATTTAGTGACCAAGAACCAGGCTGGATCTCGTACTGCCGTCCATACAAAACCGAGTGTTTGGCAAGGAAAGTCACGAGCAGCAGTGACATGTAAACCATAACGTGGACCAGACATTTTGTGCAGTCTGATGCAGTGCAGCTTGTCAACTTTCGGGGGACTTTGCAATGGTTGCCGGGGGTGATAGAGAAAAAGCTAGTACCACTGACAGCAGAAGTGAATTTTCAACCTTCAACAAGGGAGCTTGAACTTAATTCCACATTCATTTATAGATATCGCAAGCTCAAATTTATTTCATTTTGTGATGTGTTATGAATGTATGTATTATAATATATGTGTGTGCTCCTCTACTAGCATTTGTAAGCTGTATATTTGAAACCAGTTAGACCAACACCTCCATGTTATAACACGTTTTTCTTGCTTGTTTTAGTGGCAGGCCTGGTAGACGCTTTCATCTTTCATTCTGCGAAAATGATACAGAAGAAAATAGATCTCGGGAAAGCCTCTTGAGGTTCGACATTTGCATAGCAATAAATAGCTTTATGAGAAGATTGTTAAAATTATTGTTATTTGTCCTAAAGCTGGAGTTGCGTTATCTTTTAAGTAAGCTTTGACCAACTATACCAGAATAGGTCACTGGTGAAACTGAGATCTCTAGGTGGTGTAATCACAATTGTTACCAAATCGTCTTCACAGTTAAATCATTTAAATAATTTTGTGTTTGTGATTAGTTTTTACCATTCACACATGATGTGTGCCTTGAGTTTCCGAATATGGTTTCATGTTTGTTTATCAAGGAAAAATGTTAGAGAAAAACGTGTGGTCATTGCTGATCATTTTATACATCTATTTTCTTCTTCTCTTTATTCATCCGACTCCCATATTGGTCACTGAAGCGTTTTTCCTCCGCGAGTATCTATCTTACCTCTATTTTAGAGTTGTATAAATTTGTTATTTACATGCGTAAGAGTTCAATTTTGTGTAAAATTCACTCTAACTGATGACGAAATACACATAATTTTGCTTAGCTGACAAAATTCCAAGCAAATCTTCAAGTAACTGATCTTATCGCGTATTTGGCATCTAGATGTGAAGGATATAGCAAAATTAAACAAACACCCATATAAACAGCTATTGACCGGTACAGATAGATCGATCTTTGGTTAGGTGATTATAATCATCTGTATTGAGCAATGCGGGACTAATCCCACATTCAGTAAAACTTTTCAGTCAATGTCCATCATGTTTGCAAGCTGTGGTGTTTTTATGGATTTTTAGCGGCGAGTTACTGGTGAATTTCGGCTGTTTATATATTTGCTGGACCTTCACCAAAAGTGTTAAAGGATAGACATGGCATGTCATAAATCATATTACAAAGTTATCTTGTGTTATGGAATTACCTCTACTATAGTGCATTGCTCTACCTCTCCCTCTTTCTGCCTACGCCCAATCTCTATTGATGTCTTCGTCTAAATTTCGGGCAACGGCATCCTGAATCCTGAATTCTTACAACTTTCCCCCATCACTGACGCAGATAAGGTCTATGTCCCCCTGACCTCTGTCTGACCTGGCTCGTTTAGCTATTTCTGACTAATATATATATATATAGGGTTAGGGTTACAGTTAGGGTTAGTCAGAAATATCTAAACGAGCCAGGTCAAACAGAGGTCAGGGGGACATAGACCCTACGAGCATCACTGACCGCCATATATATCGCTACTATAACGTCCAAGAATGTGCTCTTTACCATGAAGGACCAAGGGAGAAGAAGAGAGAAAGGTATGGGTAAGTATCTTGTAAAAAGACTGACTATAATAAGTCAAGTTCGTCTAGTTTCCTACAGTCAGTTGATAACCGTGTTAATCAAGCTTATTTTGTAAAAGGAAGTGTTAAAGTTGTAATTTTTGCGGTCGTCAATGTGTTGACTAATTAAGGTGATGCAAAATAAGTGAAAAGAGCGTAGTTGTACATTCCCACTGTCATTTACGCATGAATTTTGATATATAATTTGAATGGTTTCTTACTGGGAAATATGTTTAGTGTGAATACTTGACAATGGTCGAAATGTTCCGCTTTGTGTAGAGCACTGAAAAATGAATAAAGTTTTCTATTTAGTATCTTAATTGTTTTTCTGGTCGGCAATAACTACACATGACAAAGCCAGCAAATAAAACATTCTACAGAGACGATAATTTCAACATTTATTTTGAACGGCAATACTTTCACTCCTGAAGAATACGGCGTGGTTCGTACAGAAGTGTTGTGCAACGACTGGGACACCACGAGTAACAACAACACTAGACGGACAGGCGGTGATACGGTTTATCGTACCGGCGCGTAGCGCCACATATACGTTACATCGCTACTGCATTATCATCTTTTATATGTTTTCCAGGAGAGTATGTGAAGTTTTACGAGCGCAACGGGCCATACCGCGTTCACCGCTCAGCCTACACAGAGATGCAACTAAAGACAAACTCCAAACTTTCCATACAGCGTCGAGCGATTTCAGAAACAGGATATATTTGCATAAAACCCAAAGGTCAGCTTGGGATCAGCACCTGTCATTCATGTAGTGCGATCATTATCAGGTTGTCCGGACACATGCTTGCATAAGGGGGTGATAAATATATGTGTGAGAAGAGAGTGCGCGCGCGCGCCTTTGTTTGTTCGTGTGTGCCAGTGAACTGATGAATGAAAGATATGAACAGAGAGAAACGGAGAGGAAGGGAACAGATAACTTATACGTGTCATAACGAGCAGCCATCTACTTCACGCAACTTGTGAGATCAATCTTCTCTTGCACACTACTAATGATGGTTGTTGCAAGACTAGCCACAGAACAGACCAGATCATACAACTGCAGCGTTATGGTTGCGCCATCCACCAATAACCACGTATAGCGCTGCACCCGTAACGTGAAGCAGCAATTCCATCAAAAATGCATAAATTTCCATTCTCAGCCTAAGGAGCATGCGAACTCCCGCGTGAAACGACGTCAGCACACATTACGATAACGCATTACGACGTACTAACATCGCACACCCTCTTGAATGGTAAAGATTTACCAGACCAGAAGTTTTCCCAATCTATTGAAACGTCCAGGTCGTTTATATCACGTCAAGGGACACCAACCGTGTTAAATCTGCATTGGCAATGTAGTCAGGCGGATGCATGATGATATACCACTCGCCTATACAGAGCTTTAAATTAGCTACCCTCTAGCGCGCGAGCGCGAGCGCTCTCCCTCTCTCTCGCTCTCGCTCTTTCTCTCTCACTCTTTCTCTTCACAGAAACTGTGGCGCTAAAATCAACAGCTGCTTCACAAGCATTTATGTATGTCACAAGCATTTATTTTACCGCTGAAGTGTGGGATCCGCAAGTGATATTACCATCTGTACAGCAGGCCATTTCTAGAGTGCTTCTGAATAGCAGATACACAATAGCTACTACTACCACATAACTGACGAGCATCTACATACGTGCAGTGCAGACGGTTTACACGGCAGAAGATAGTCGCGTGACGATAGACCGACTATACTGATTACTGTATTTGTATGAAATTCAATTATGAAGATTTCGTAGCAAAACTGCACTTGTAGGTTTGCAGGTACATTGCATCATCACTTAACACCACAAATTAATAGTTTTAGTGTGTTACCAAGGCCTGCTCTCGTAAAAACCATGTTAGCAGCATCTTTTACAAATTGATGATTATAAAAACGTATGAACTAGTGTGATTTGCGGTTACAAAATAGGTCTTTACAACGTTCCATAGACGTAAATACGCGAACGTTTACATCGGAAAACAGTTATAGGAGCTGGCAAAGTTTTAGTATGCTCTACAACACGGCACGCGGAACTCACTGCACACATGTACATGTCTGCGGAGATAAAACAAAGAAATTATACTGCGGTTTCTACCCAGAAATGTACATATGTACGATAAGTGCTGTAATATACTGTACTATAATGATGACGACTGGCTTTGGATGCCTGAACAGCACACACTCAACATTCATTAAAATATTGTATACGCACAGGTAAAGATACACAGAACACACTTATCAGAACGTAATTAAATCGAACAAGTCCTATTTTAAACGGTTTAACATCTTGATGACATCTACAAAACATAAACAGGTGCCAAGTGTGACAGCAATAGTTAAGCATCCACAGTCGCAGTTTTAGACCAAATACAGAAAATATGAAAACATATAATCTTGTCAGTTGAATCCAAATTACACTAGGTGAGCCTTGTGAAGTGTTGTTACGTTGCACAGTCAGTACACATGCTTGCAAATCCCTGCGCACATTCACTGTTATGTGTTTTTTGGAAACGGTAACGACACAGGGGCCAACTAGCCCTGGTTGACACACACTACAAAATATGTGACGATATCTTACTGCTGCTACTACTACATGTACAGCCACGAGTACACTGCCGTGCCTAGACATATTCAAACAGCACAGAGACATGGAAACTACAGGCACAGCTAATGTATACCTATTGGATTTGTTGTGCATCTTAGACTTGTGGTATAAAATTCACTTGCACGTGACAGCATTTGACTTTAGCTCGTACTTCTACGCGTAATGTTTAATGCCAATAGACGAACGACAATCAGAAAAATAACCAAAAAATCTGAAGCAGAGAACAGAACAATAAGTAGTACTCGGCAGTAACCAATAGAGAAACGCTTTTCAATACCTACAGGCACGTAACAAGTGTGTGAGAGCAGCCAGACAACGCGTAAGACAACAAGTCAAAGCAAACTGGTCCCAATTTATCCAATAAACCTCAATAGAAAGCATGTATGAAGTTGATCATGCGTTACATTGGGAGAAGATTACGTACTTTCAATAGTAAACGCTGTGCAGCAAATACGTCTCCTAATTAAACTTGCATTGGTCACTGCCGTTAAAACAGCCACTTTTAATTCTATTACTATACTATTGCAATGCACATAACCGGTGACTCACAAGTGTGAGGGATCAAGTGCTAGTGCGGAAATCCATACGGAGCTCCAACCCTACCAGGGCTTTTATCGGTCCGTTTAGAGGTATTCATGCGGTTTGCGTAATAGTAGAACATATCGTAGCTGTAACTTTGAAATTTGCTCGCATATATATAGCACAAGTCTGTGCCCATCCTATTATGCCACAGTGTAGGTGAACTGTCCTGCCAATTAGGATATGATAATGGCGAATTTCGGAATGACCACACACCCTATTTGACGGACCCGTACCATGCATGTATGACTACTCTGATGGGATGCACCCAGACTTAAGGTATGCGGCTTACTGGATTCAAAGTAAGAAACAAGATATACTAAATTTAAACTTACTCAAGGCTTGATATTAACATACCATAATATTGCAGTCAAACGTTTGACAAATTCACAAACCACTGTCTTTAAAAGAAGTTCCAGTCGACTTAGCAAACAGTGAGGTTTAAAAAGAACACAACAGTATCAGTTCAATAATTTAGTTTTTCATGTTGTGTGATGCTTATTACTATAAGTGCTACTTGAAAAAGTAATCTGTTACTAAAAATTGCATGTGCTACCATCAAATGTACATTAATATCAAGTCTTGCCATCTAAAACACTCATTTTATCAAACGTTAGTTTCCACAGGTCACTTTATGACATAGTTGCTCCCGCTTCATAGGCAGGATAATTACTATCATTTAATAAAACATTACACAATTAAAAATGCAAACGACAGTGCTGAACATGTTGAAAGAGAGTAGATGCTAACAGAATCTTGTCAAACTTAAGTTGGACATATCGCCGTATTACATATAAAATACTTGGGGTCAGATGTGGAGTTTTGTTACTATGATACCATTCACCCACACTGAGACAGACAAACACTCGGCTGGCTGACTTGCTGCTCAGAAGAATACAGCTTGTGAGCCGAAATGAGAAAATACTCGCGTGCACATAACGCACGCACACATCCGTACACATGCTCACACATTCAAGCCACGCCCAGACTCACCCATGCACACCTCATATGCTCTCTCCTATCTTTACCTCTAAATCATAGTAGAACTGATCGAATTTGATGAACAACTGTACACATATTCTTACAAGTTAGGCATAGTTTACAGAATTTAAACTTTGTATCTTCTAACAATCCAACCACAGAGATCTTTGTCAACTTCTGTACATTTGTAATTACTATTTGCCTCTTATTTACAACGATGAAAGTACACGCCTGTAAAACCTGAAGCACGCAACATGACAAAAATCCTCACTCCCCGCACCTACAGGCCAAACGACTTCACGGTACGTGCCTCTACATCATACATGCCACGACGCACTAAGCACGCATCGAAAACGCCTACACAGATTTTTCACACTCAACGTCATGTACCGTGAACCATGCTAAAATTCAACGGGCGCACAACGGCCAGACACACATACACACACATCACAACAACTGTAAGCATGAAACAGCGATGGCGGGTATACGCACAAACACGTCCATGCGCACTAGAGCCGGAAAGTCGCCGTCCACCACGCGACATGTCCACGGCTGTGGACTAGATGTGAAATGATTGGCGTTGTTGCTGTTGGCGCAGTTCATGTGAACCAATCATCGTCGCTCACAATCTCTCTCGGCACCAACTGCTCTACATCCTTAGCATCCTTGTCCATCCGGGGAAGGCTGAACGAGTGTCTGTTGTTAAACCTGCACATGGCACAACAAATCAATTATAGACAACGTTTACTTTTGATATTCATACAAGCGCAAAAAGCAGAATTCATGATAAAGTATCAACCCTCACTGATTTGCAGGCACTGAAACAGCAGCTGAGTAAAAACGTAACCTGGAACATCTCAGATGATTCTGTATCTACACCTAATCTCAACTATACCAAAGGTGATATGCTCCTACTCATTACATATCGTGATCTGTGGGAATTTGAACGGGCAACCACGATGAGGAACTATAACTTCCTAAATCTAAATTAACTAATATCCTAATTTGGTCTTTGAGAATGCAATTTTTAACAGAATCACTGCAAATACGACAGAGCTCAATACTATAATTTACCATATGTTACGATCAAGATTTTGCCACGAGCAATCACTTCTCACAATATTACCTACTTCCAACATGACTAATCTAAATAGTTTCAACTACGGCAACCTGCATTAAACAGCCGAGATCGGACGAGGGTATGGAATCGGCCGCGGCCTACCGAGTGTCGAAACAAGGTAGTCAATTAAGTCGTGCAATTAAGGTAGGACTGGCGACGCCATCAACTCACCAAGGATGTTCGAGCACCTCTTCTGCAGAGAGGCGCTGGGCGGGCTCGCGCCGCATCAAGCTGTGTATGAGGCTCTTGGCACGTGACGACACCGTGTCCGGGATCGTGTACTGGCCCTTGCGTATTTTGCTGAACAGCTTCGTCGGCTCAGTGTCGTGGAATGGGTAGCGGCCGATGAGCATCGTGAACAGCATCACACCAAGGCTCCAGACGTCTGCTCCCTGCATTGCAAACGAGGAGCCAACATGCATTAGTTCACCCGACTGTGGTCAGACGCAGCGTGTGGTCTCACAGAAGCAGAGATGCCAACACATATTTGAAGCAATCTGTAGTTTCTGGTCATCAAATGAGTAGTTCGAGGGTCACGTAGTGACCCGAGTTTGCTAGGGGGGTCCGGCATGACCCCTGGAAAATTTTTTGATTCTGAGATGCAATTTCCTGCAGTCTGAGGGTCAAAAATGACAATAAATTGACAAAAAATGACAATAATTGACAAAAAAAAAATAAAAAGATCACAGTGAAATTCGTAGTTTGATACAAACTGGTCGTAGTGGTGCAAAAGGAATAGAAATTCGTATAAAATACGGATAAATCGTAGTGGTTGGCATCTCTGCAGAATCTATAGTTGATAATGAGCTCGCGATACAACTTCTTATAGATACCTAGTGTGATATGATCACAAATGGTAGTGTACACTCAAACCACATTGTAAAATACAATTATGGACGCCAAGCTGGATTGCAAATACATGGGCTTAACAAAGCAACTTTTCCCACAACAACAGGTGGTACGCTGGTACATGTGTCCTGTACAGTTACTTATTTTCCCACAATATGCACATGATTGTTAACATTTACCCAACATTATGGCAATGCCAATGTCTGTGGTATATTCCTTATTTCTTAGCGAACTTGCCTTGCATGCTAGCCACTCACCTTGCCCGAGTAAGAGCTGGTGCTATTAAGAATCTCTGGGGATGCATATGCAGGACAGCCATGCTTGTCTGATAGCATGTCATCTTCCTCGTCCAAGACCCACGCATCGTCTAGGCTGTCTAGCTTCAGCGACGTCCTGCAATTCAAAATGTGTGCCCGTGTAACTATCGTGATTATCTTATATAGTCACAATAAATGAGCAAGCAAGAAAGGGGATAGTAGCTGTTTGTGTTCAATATACATTAAAGGATTGTTTTCGAGGGAATAGACAAAGAACATAGAGAGAAAGGGAAAAAGAGAAAATGGCAGATTGTATACAGGTGAGAGGGAGAGAGCATGAAAAAAGATAATTACTATTTTATACATGTGCACAGATAGCGGGCCAGGTAACATATACAGGTATTGCATACAGGTAATAATTATTTCTATTCTGTGTAAATCTGACGAGCAGTTAAACTAACACATTTAGGCCACGATTTAGATGCACGTCACATACAATTTTAAATACAAACAAATGCTACTCTTGATACAAATGTATAAACATTTAATTACAACAGTATACAGTTTTTCATAACTACATACTCATATCATTTTGTAATAGAACAAGTTTCATATCTGGCATGTTTGCATTGTTTTGTAGGGAAGGTTTTTGTACGTCACGCGTTACATGTCGGTCAATTATCTTCCGTGCTGTGCATCATCTTGCATGCTACAGTTTAATCAGTGCAAAGGTAGGGCTTCCTATAAGCGGAACTAAACCATAGGAAAACAGTCAAATCACATTCTACTGGAACTATTCAAAAGCACTGAGAGTTGGGTTCTCTGCAATGTTCGCTTGATAACAATAAAAATTGTATGGTTCATGTTCGCTCATCCATTGCAGAATTTTTTTTATAAATGCAGAAACTTGCATTTAATCACATGTGGACAGGTGTAGGGTGTTGGTTAGTGTGGCACAAAGGGTCGTTGTCGTATCAGGTACTACATATATGTACCGCGAGGTAGTTTTAGGTCGTTTAGTTTTATGTTTATATTTTTATATGAGGTATGTTTAGGGTTAGGGTTACGGTTAGGGTACACTTCTGTAGTACAAGTCTGGTACACTTTGTGTATACATATATGTATCTCGGGTACATATATGTAGTACCTGATACGACAACGACCCCTTCAGCGTTACTGTGTGCGCTAGAGGCTGATCTGCACTCGAAATGTTCTGTGGCAGTGTAGACAGGAGATTGGGGCGATGCTGAGCATGTTAGTTGTGTAAGTGCAGTCGCCCTCAGTGGCACTCGCTAAGTACTACGTATTACTAGATACACTCAAACAAATAGCTCACATCATGTCTTCCCACCAAAGGTGGCATATATCCCACCACGAACACCCCAAAACACCTCGGGGAAAAGTATATGGAGCAATTATTACTAATAATCGTCACCATCTACTGCCACCATGAATAACAGGTAAAAGACACTAATGCTGAGAGGGTCTATGTCCCCCAGGGTGCCGGAACGTACCCTGGTACTATCTAATATGCCGGACCGTATCTCGCCTACTCCACTAACGAGTCTAGGGAGTCGCCTACGTCTACTCCCTAACCCTAACCCTAACCATATCAAATAGTTACCAGGGTATGTTTCAGTATTCCGTACCGTACCCAGGATACGTTCCGACAGTACCCTGGGGGACATAGACCCTATGAGCGACACTAATAATGCTCATAGGGTCTATGTCCCCCAGGGTAATGCCGGAACGTACCCAGGTAACTATTTGATATGGTTAGGGTTAGGGTTAAGGGGTTAGGGTTAGGGAGTAGGCGTAGGCGACTCCCTAGACTCATTAGTGGAGTAGGCGAGGTACGGTCCGGCATATTAGATAGTACCAGGGTACGTTCCGGCAGTACGCTGGGGGACATAGACCCTCTCAGCGTTAATATGGCATGTTTAATTATTCGTCGGTGATTAAATATGATAATTACTCACACTGTAAATCTGACAATTCACACACCCTTTCTATCTACAGAAAATAACATATGAGTACCTATAATATTATGCATATATTTGATTGTAGTAAGTGTTGACAAAAATGGATATGTAGTGTGCTCATTATTAGTGCTGAGAGGCTCTATGTCCACCAGGGTACTGCCGGAACGTACCCTGGTTACCGTCCATATAATTCAACGTGATTTATATGCTCTGCTGGTACTATCATAATCTAATATGCCGGACCGTACCTCGCCTACGCCACTAACGAGTCTAGGGAGACGCCTACTCCCTAACCCTAACCCTAACCATATCAGATAGTTACCAGAGTACGTTCCGGTATACCAGACCGTACCCAGGGTACGTTCCGGCAGTACCCTGGGGGACACAGACCCTATGAGCATTATTAGTGTCGCTCATAGGGTCTATGTCCCACAGGGTTGTCCCACAGGGTACTGCCGGAACGTACTACCTAATATGCCGGACCGTACCTCAATCGCCTACTCCACTAACGAGTCTAGGGAGTCGCCTACGCCTACTCCCTAACCCTAACCCTAACCCTAACCCTAACCATATCAAATAGTTACCTGGGTACGTTCCGGTATACCGGACCGTACCCAGGGTACGTTCCTGCATTACCCTGGGGGACATAGACCCTATGAGCCATATTAACTTCCTCTTTGTTTGAGTACAACCAAAGACCCTATATACTTAGTTACGTATATACAGCATATAGGGTCTTTGGTATAACTAGTAAGACGTAGTAACGTGTGCCACCAAGGGCAACTGCACATAAACGGTTCACGCCCCCTTTTCATTTGCCTTACTCATACACACCACTGTATCAAAGTGCGTCGCAACTCGCATGTAACTTGGAGCTCAATGATGGCGCATGCAGCCTGGCTAAATAGAAACGCGTACGCATGACTCAGCCTAGCCAACGCGTTCGACCCTGAACGGTCTTGGCCAACCAACCAACCAGCCAACCAGCCAGCTACGCAGCAACTCCCAATTAGGAGCGATAGCAAGCGTCAGAAGCATCCAGAACTCACCCAGCTGGCGCAATCGCGCCGTTAGTCAAAGTGCGTAGTAACGCTAGCAAATATGTCATCCGGGCTTTGAACCGTTGCGCAATTGCGAACGTTGCTTGTGCGCCGTGTCGCAACGTACGCCGTGTACCAAAAAATGGCACGCATGCAGGTATTGCAACACTTAGTGAGCGCCGCCTTCGTACAGTATAATGGGTCACAAGGAAGTTGTACTATAGCGCATGCGCGCGAATGTAAACCACTATTCTATTGAATTATATTAGACCTCTAGCAAAGAGCGCTTTCGAAAAACATATCGCTACAGTGCTACTTTTAACCATCTCTCGATTTGTATTGACCATGGAGCAAATACACGGGCGTGTTGAATTACCTTATGTTCTACTTAAGCACGACTGCATAAATTAATCTGGGGGTCGTCTTATTTCTATTAAAAAATATCGTAAACCTTCAGGCGATTTCACATTTCAGTAGTAACTCGCAGACCACACAACCGCTTCCACAATAAATTGGATACTGCTACTGCCAGTATGGCTCATAGTCATAGGGTCTATGTCACCCAGGGTACTGCCGGAACGTACCCTGGGTACGGTCCGGTATACCGGAACGTACCCTGGTCACTATTTGATATGGTTAGGGTTAGGATTAGGGTTAGGGTTAGGGTTAGTGTTAGAGTTAGGGTTTGGGTTAGGGAGTAGGCGTAGGTGACTCCCTAGACTCGTTAGTGGAGTAGGCGAGGTACGGTCCGGCATATTAGATAGTACCAGGGTACGTTTCGGTATACCGGACCCTACCCAGGGTACGTTCCGGCAGTACCCCGGGGGACATAGACCCTCTCAGCGCCAGTATGATCGACAATATTAAAAATGTTGTTATCTTTGTAGTTTTAACGTATGCACCACGTATTACCCACATTAACTTTAATGTTTTTAAGCTCATGCACACCAGGTGCCTTAGCTGAATTTATATGACTCCTTCATAATCCACATCACAATGCTGCTGGATTCTATATTATAGGCCCTATCGTCATTATTAACACTTTATTATGCAAAACATCATTGTTTTAAAACTAACTTATTAATGTTTCAAGGTAATATTTTGTTTTTCTAATTTTCAATCAATTATTTGTTGTAAACATGTAGAATACACATGGGATAATCCATCACAGGCAAAATTTCACGAAACATCCTGCATGGAACATCAAGAAAATGCAAAGAAAATTATTGTACATTGTGCAAGGATCTGATCTTACTAGACAGATGCGGCATAAACATATGGGAGGGGGATATGTGTCAAAATTCAAATGTTCAATTGATCGATTAATTGTTCAATTGAACAGTCGTTTAATCATTCAAATGTTCAATTGATTGATTGATTGTTCAATTGAACAGTCAATTTAACCATTCAAACGTTCAATTGATCGATTGATTGTTCGATTGAACAGTCAATTTAATCATTCAAACGTTCAATTGATCGATTGATTGTTCAATTGAACAGTCGTTTAATCATTCAAACGTTCAATTGAGCAATTAAATAACGAATTGCCAAATTGAATCGCCGAATTGACGATTTGACGAATTGACAAATCAAAGGCACGAATACTGAATAGGCGTATTGAATCATGGAATGGAGCAATTGCCGAGGCTCGTCTATCGCCAAATCAAACGTGATCAAATCAAATCAATCTAGATACATACAAGAGCCGCAGAGCGTCTGGGCTCTTCTGAGGTCTGTTGCTACGATTATAAACGTAAATTT